TATTCCAAATGGATGTTAAATGTGCATTCCTACATGGAGAGATAGATCGCGAAGTATACATCCAACAACCACCAGGTTTCGAAGATCCCAAATTTCCAGATCACAGCTTTAAATTGCAGAAAGCTGTCTACGGCTTGAAACAAGCACCTCGAGCTTGGTATGCCACGTTGTCAACCTTTCTCGAAGAATCAGGTTTTAAAAGAGGTTCAATTGATCAAACCCTCTTTCGTAAAATCTTTAATAAACATCTGTTAATCGTACAAATATATGTTGATGACATTATTTTCGGTTCTACTGATGAATCTTTAAGTGTTAAGTTTGCAGATCTAATGAAGAGCAAATTTGAAATGAGCATGATTGGGGAGATGACTACTTTTCTCGGACTTCAAATCAAACAGTCAACTGATGGCATTTTCATCAACCAAGAGAATTATGTCAAAAACCTACTCACTCGTTTTTCAATGGAAAAATCCAATACCGCAAAAACCCCAATGGCTTTTGGATACAAAATTGATGCAGACTTAAATGGCAAACCCGTTGACCAGAAAAGATATCGTGGAATGATCGGATCACTCTTGTACCTCATTGCCAGCAGACCTGACATCATGTTTTCTACATGTGTTTGTGCTAGATACCAAGCAAATCCTATGGAATCCCATGTAGTTGCTGTGAAACGCATCTTCAAATACCTTAAAGGCACTCCCAAACTTGGCCTTTGGTATCCAGCTAAATCCGATTTTCAGCTGAACGCTTTCACCGACTCAGACTACGGAGGATGCAAGCTAGATAGGAAGAGTACATCTGGTAGCTGTCAATTCCTAGGAGGTAGACTAGTGAGTTGGACTTCAAAGAAACAGACTTGTGTATCCACATCAACAGCAGAAGCTGAATATGTCGCTGCCGCCAGCTGTTGTTCACAAGTCATATGGATGCAAACTCAACTGCGTGACTATGGCTTCAAAATCTCACAAATTCCCATATTTTGTGACTCAACCAGTGCAATTGCCATTTCTCACAATCCCGTTCACCATTCCATGACAAAGCACATCGACATTCGATATCACTTTATCAAAGACAACATTCAAAAGGGTCATATCGAACTACACTTCATCAACTCCGAAGATCAAATTGCCGATGTCTTCACTAAGGCTCTCGATGAAACGAAGTTTCAATACTTCCTAGGCCGTCTAGGAATGTTAAATCCAGATAACATCCATCCTTAAACTTTTACTTTTTGTTTGTACAAAAGTGTGTTTACTTTCATTCAAAAAGAAAATTCAAAAACATTTGAAAACTGCTTTCTTTTCAAAAAAAAAAAAACCAAAAACATTGAAATAACCAATATTTCCAAAAACATTCAGAAAAACAAATCTTCAAAAATATAATAAAAGACTTGCCATAATAAGCTTTTATAGAACCTTGTGATTAATCGTCTTTTGACTTAATTTTCAGATGCTTATGCTCGATGAAGATTTTAAGTCATATTGATTCTCAATTGGAGTGAAGGTTCAAATCTCCTACTTTTCATAATGTACATAACTTTATTTCCTTCAATTTTATTTCATTATTGATGATTTTAAAAAGGGACATAAGGTTAGGAGGTTCAGATGAAAACAAAAACCCATGTGAGAATTTGTGCCTCATCAATCTGAATCATTGTGGAATTCATTTCTTGTGAGCTTAGGTGTGTCACTATTGCTTATAAGGTATATCCGATTATACCTTGTCACGGTCTCATTTTTGCTTAGATATCAAAATGACCAGGGACGATACATTCATTTCTTACATACTAGACAAACTGTCTTTTATGCCACTAATCCCTACCTAGATATAAGCCAACCAAAAATGATGTCTTGAGATCCCGTGATCCATCAACAAGAAAAGATGAAACAAGATAAAGAAGAATCAACAAGAAAGCCAAATCATTCACGAAGAAATACCAAACAAAACAAAAAAACTCTACATTTGGTATTTTCAAACAAAGTTCAACCAAATGGTTATTTCAAAGCAAACATCAAAAGATCTCGTGATCTGTTTTTAACCATTTTTCACAAAAAGGGATATCTTAATCCCGCAAGATAGATACTCTCAAAAATCCCAATTTTCTCAAATGTAGCAAATTCTCGATGCTAAAACAAAATATCCTTTTACAACAAAAAGATATTGATCAACAAAAAGGATACCATCAAAAAAAAGCTGCAACAACAATGGATTTCCCGGGATACTGTAGCCTTCATCAATGAAAGTTCTTAGTTGCAAACTGCACTATGAAAATTGCTAAACCCTCTACATGTATTTCCCGACGGAGAGAGAGAGAAAGTTAATGGCATGAATGAAGAAACCCGCTGAGTAATGCCGAAACCAGTCTTATGTGATTGATTATCTAATAATGAGACTAAGTGACCTTTCAGGAAAAGCATAGTTAACACCTCCAATATGAGTGTGAGTCGTCAGAGAGAGATATCACTCATTTTTAGTGATCATTAACTTGTTCTGCTGCCAGAACAACCAAACACCCAAGTGAAGTGTGAGCTATACCTATGAGCGTTCATCTGAATCGACCTGTTAGACCACTTGTCGTCATTAATAATGCTATAAAATCTAAGAAATTTCTTTAGATACATATATGGCTACCCTTTGATAACCGAACCCGAGACTTTGATTCGGAAACAAATTTCTGAAAATCTTTTACATAAGATATGTTAAACCAAGTCACAAACTTTCAAATCAATTGCTATGGTTTTATATATATCTTATCTATTGACAAATCTTTTATCTCGAATCTTCAAAAGTTAAACTGTCAATATGATTATATCATACCTGTCCTTATTTCAGCAATGATCACATAGGGGGAAATTGTTGAAAAATGTTCTTATGTAACCTAGTATGTGACCATCACTGAAATAAGATGAACTGTTTTTATACAATCTAACAAATATTATCAGTTATTTCAGGTTGCATGAATGCGTGATAAAACGGAAAATACGAAAACACGCGAATGACGAAAACACATATGTGTGACTAAACAAATTCAACAATATATATATATATATATATATATATATATATATATATATATATATATATATGTGTGTGTATTATATACATATGTATGTATTATATATGTATATATGTATCATATATATGTTGTATATATGTTGAATAGTCAAACAAAGAAGGAAGTCAAACAAAGTCAAGGAAATAAGAAGCTAAATGAAGACCCACGTTTTTTTGCCTCCTACTCTACATCAACTTGCAGCCAACTCTCCATATACTCAAGTGCACTAGAAGATATTTGTTTCATGCATATATGTATACATGAGTTTGTGTGTGTAAGGGTGTGTTCATTTTTGTAATCTTGTAACACTTCCTACAAACTACAAACACTCCCAAGAACATCACAAATCATCATCTTCTTCAAGAACAAAGACAAATCCCTGGAGAAAATGAAGAACACCAAGATCAAACAACAATGAAGTGAAGAACACCAAGATCATCAACAAGAAAATGAAGAACACCATCAACCATCTTCATCTTCTTCATTGAAACTCAAGGTTCTTCATCTTCACTATCCTTGTTCATCACACCATTTACCACCAAACACCTCCCTTATATTAACCTCCTTCCAATCTCAAAATAATCTCCAAACACCCTCCAAATACCCTCCTTAAACCTCCTCCAAAAACCCTTTCAAATCACCACAACCATCACCACCTTGCTGTTTTTCGACATCAGAATCTTCAAGTCAAAAACGAAGAAAACTGGGCTCGTTACAAGCACAAAAAGACTAGGGAGATTTTCACCATCAATTCTTCAGGACCTTACCTACATCTAGAAATTTTCGTGGACGATTTTGACCACGGGAAACCCCAAAGAGACGCGAGAGAGAATTGGCTATCCAGAGAGATTTCTGTTTTCAAGTTCAGAATCTGCATGTTAGAAAACAGAAAACCGAGCACAACACAGCCAAAATAAGACTAGGGAGATTTTCACCACAAATTCTTTAGAACCTTACCTTCATCTAGGAATTTTCGTGGACGATTTTGACCACAGGAAACCCCAGAGAGACGCGAGAGAGAAATGGCTATCCAGAGAGATTTTCTGAAAACTGAAGGTTTTTAATCTGTGTATGCAAGGATCTGCGCGAACACGACCCGTGTTGTTTTTGCCTAAATCAACACGACCCGTGTTCAGGATTTTGACCTTTAAAACCTTCTAAAAACCTCCTACATGACCCGTGTCACTTGTGCCTTATCTTACACGACCCGTGTGCATGTTTTTACCCAAAAACTTCAAATACAAATACATAAACCCATGTATTTTGTACCCTTTTGTAAACACTTGTTTTACATAAAATCGAGCTTTAAATGAACTTTTTGTTACTTATCCAATGCCGGATTGATCTTTGAACAAAAATAGACCAGTCGCTCCAAGAGTCCCAATATCGACCAGTCCATTCAAAGAACATATATCGACCAGTCGCTCCAAGAGTCCCAATATCGACAGTCCATTCAAAGAACAAATATCGACCAGTCGCTTCATGAGTCCGGTTCAGTCAATTTATTGACGAACCTACTTGATATATATTTATATATTTATATACTTTATTATAGCTTTATGTCATTTAAATATAGTCATTTATATTATTTATAGCTTTATGTCATTTAAATACAGTCATTTATATTATTTATAGCTTTACGTCATTTAAATACAGTCATTTATATTATTATAGCTTTCAGTCATTTACAGCTTTTATATTTATACTTATTCCGCAATTATTATTCTATATATATATATATATATATATATATATATATATATATATATATATATATATATATATATATATATATCTTATATCTTAAACTAATATATCTATCACACAGTAACTGGTAACCGAGCCTTTTGTTGTGGTGATCAGATTGTTATATTTCCAACAAATCAGTATCTGAGCTGATATATAAAAGGAATAATATCCAACAGCCTATCGTTGCCTCCTCATGCTAGCCCTCCCTGCTCACCCGCCGTTAGCCATCTCCTCCCCTGTGAAGCTACCGGCCGGAGACAAGTCGCACTCCACAGAAACACCGGAGACCTTCGACCCCACAGATAAGGTTCGTTTTTGTCCAATTTTTCCTGCTGTCGAGCCTTTCTTCCTGTCGATTTTTTTCCTAGCCTTTCATTCATTCTTCTTTTTTCCTGGTGATTATTTTGTTGATTGATGCGTAATAAACTCATAAAAGAGCTCTAAAATAGAAACATTTGCAATGAAAGTAGCTTACATTTGAATGTGAATTGGGAATTGGTTTTGAATGAAATACCGAGGAGTTTGAAGGATTAGCCAAACACTTTTTAAAAACTCTAGACCGTTGTAAGTTAATAAACTATAAGTTCAATAGTTAAAAGCATTTTTAATAAGCTTAGCCAAACACCCTCTATCTCTCACTCGATTCACGTTCGATCTCACTCAAACAAGGTCAGTTTGTTTATGTTTATTGCTCTAGTAATGATTACTGATTAGGGCAAATTTTAAATCCACTGAATTAGGATTAGAGCTGGTAATCAAATATCCGTTAAAATCAATTGGATTTTTCTATTTGAATTAGGATTAGGGTAACTGTTTACTTCGCTTTTTATTTGAAATTCATGAGTACTTGAACTTGATTGCAAGACTTCTTAGTTTTTTATTTGCTTATTTGTTCCAATTTGTTCTTTATTCCAATCAAACTAAGTTACTAAAGAAAACAATCAGTGTAAATAATTACTTGTTTCAACCTGTAACTTATTTAATCAAACCAAGTTATCAAAGAAACCAATCAAATTCAAATAGTTGCAAAAGAATCATATAGTCCAAAACCAATAAGAGTCTAAACTTCTCATTTCTTACATGATGTTGTTTTTCTATAGGCAATTAGGCACCCAATCCAAAGATGACAGATGGATTAGGTTTGGAATGCCAAGTTTGTGGCTTTGTGGGATTGGATGATGGCTCTGATGGTTTCTTTTACTGTCAAAGATGCGGTTCTCAAGCTGATGGAATCAGGGATACAGCTGTTGATGATGATGAGATGCTTTTAACAAAGGAAAATGTTGGTGGAATTGTGCAAAGATGTGTAGCTGTGGTCAAACCTGAACCTCTCTCAATCTCAACCCCCTTCACAGTTTTGGGAAACTTTAAGGACCCAAGAGAATGATGATGATGATGATGATGGGGTGGGTCCCACTGAGCCTATTGATTTTGGGAGAGGGCCAAGAACATTGAGTTATGAAGATTACTATTCAGAAATTAGGATGAGGTATGTAATGGGAGTGCAGATCATGATCGAGTTGCAAGTTAAGGCTTTGGTTGAAAAATTCAACGTGTGTCCTATAATTGTTGATATGGTGGAGCCCATTTGGTTAAGATTTGTGGCATCCACTAAGCTTTTCAGTGATGATTGGGCTGATGAGGTTATTAATGAATCAGAATCTCAAGTACAAGGTATTCGTTTTATTGTTTTCTTTTGGGTATTTTTATAAAGAGAAATACTGACATTTTCTTATTCTATTTCAGGGGAAACAGAAGCTGTTGCACCAAATGCCAAACACAAATCCGAACCTCATAACATACTCGGAAAACGATCCGTAATGATATGGTATAGATCCGTAAGCAAAACAATACCCTTACCATATTCTTTAGCCATTTCTTTTTTACTCTGCCACCTGGCACGAGAGCCAATTCTATCAACTGATATAGCAAAATGGACACTCGAAGGAAAACTTCCGTATTTCACAGCCTTTCTTGAAATAGAAAAACAAATCGGATCCCCAACTAACGCGTGTCCATTAAGTTCAAGTCGTATGTTCAGACCATTACATTGTATTTCTATTCAGAAGCTGGAATCATTAGCTGCTTCAATTGCTCATTCCATTGGATTGGAATTACCTCCGGTCAACTTCTATGGAATTGCTGCCCGGTATCTCGGGCAGCTGTCTCTTCCAGTTGAGACCATTCTCCCTCATGCTTCCCGGATTTATGAGTGGTCAATGCCACCCGAGCTTTGGTTGTCTGGAAATGAATTCCGGCTTCCTACACGTGCTTGTGTGTTGTCTATTCTTATTTTTTCAATTAGGAGTCTTTATAAGATACATGGTTTTGGGAAGTGGGAAAAGGGTTTGGCGAAGAGAAAAGACGGAAAGGAATCTAAGATTTTGGATAAAACAGCGGAATCGGAATCGGAATCAGAATCAGAATGCAAGATGTCGTCTCTTTCTAATAATCTTGTTTCCGAGAGTTATGATAAGCGACTACCGAAACAATCGAACTTGGATGCTACAGAGATTTTACTTTTGCTCGAGTCAAAATACAGTCAACTCATTGATACAAGTGGTAAGCTCTTACAAATTTCAGTTTAGACTTTATACCCTAATCTCAACAATGGTATAAATCGTTGCAACCTTTGATTTTCATGAAATTTACAATACGTCAAGTGGTTTCATATGTTTAGGTTAGTGATGGAATAAGGAAAGGAATGGAATTGTTCATTCCATTCCGCTCCTTTGTTATTCCATTCCATCCAACTACACCTACTCTTAGTATTTTTCCAACAGATTGTCCTGTCTTTGTTTGGTAGTTGATGGTAGGGATCTTGAAACGTATCTTGAATATTGCAAGAATGTGGTGTTTGCTGGTGTGGAATTGTCATTTGAGGATCATGAAGAAGATCAGATAATAGAAGATCTTTGGAATTATTATCATAAAGAAGAGGTATGTATGTATGTATGACATGATATAAGTGAGAAGAGATTTACAATTTTACATATGAAATTCATGATAAGTTTTTTTTTTTTTTTTTTTTTTTTTTTTTTTTTTTGTAGGAGGATCACAAGCCATCATGTCCAAGCTCTAATTGTGGTTCCCACAAGAGACCTCTTGATTTTTCCGAAACCAACGTGAAGAAGCTCAAGAAATCTAAAGATGACAATGATGACAAAATTAGCAATGAGACCCAAAAAGAAAAGGCAATAAGACGAATGATATCAAATATGGAAGAAAAAAGATTTTGTTATATTCCTCCAAGGACTAAAATTAAAAGACCCGATGATTATTTACATTATACAAGGAAAAAAGATGATGGAAACTATACTTATGCTTCACATGCGGATTATTATATTTTATTAAGATCATGTGCAAGAGTGGGTCGACTCGATGTTAGGGTTATGCATGGTGCAGTGTTGAGTTTTGAGAGGCAATTGGCATGGCTTGAGAAAAATATTGATCAATGCGTGAAAGAAATGCCTAGTTTTCAAGTGTCTTGTGAGCTTTGTCCACAAGATGATATGAATGGTGATGAATCCATGGATTTTTCTAAGTTAAACTTGTAACATTTCTTCATATTTATTGCATAACCAAAATATAAATTATCCCAAAGGTGAGAGGTTATATGATCTATGACGTGAAACATATATTGATTAACATGCTATTGACTCTAAATCATGGTTATTGTATATACATGTTTTGGTTTGGTGAAATCGGTTCTAGGATCATTTGGAACACAAAAATAGCCTGAAATCGTATGCCTTTCTAAATCAGCTGATAAAACTGATTTTTGAGGTTATTTTAGGCTCCTTAAATCGTAGCCCATAAAGTTGATTTTTGTCCAATAAAATGACATACATCTCTATTGATATAACAAACCTAACTTCCTTAAATTAAAAAGAACTAATTTAAACCGATTGAAACCAAAGTACCAAAAATGTATCATCACTCAAAAACATTTAAAAACAAATGTAAGCAAGTAACAAAGTATTAAATGCAACAAAATATGGTATGTTTACATATTTGGTCATTGTACTTTAATTTTACACGATTTACCATGAACTCACATGTGATGTTTGAAATCTACCATTTTGATCGATAATAAACGACCTAGTCGGTTTTCGGTGACCCTTTAGATAGGTTAATGAACTTTAAGTATTAAATGTAACAAACTATAGCCCATGTATATATTTGGTCATTATACTTTATTTGTACAAGATTTACCATTAACTCACATGTAGTGTTTGCAATCTACCATTTTGATTTGTAATAGACGATCTAGCTGGTTTTTGACAACCTTCCAATTGGTTAACAACTTTATAGGGTATCAGACTATATTTTTGTTTACATTTAGTCTGTTACCCAATTTTCTTTAAGCAAATTACCATTAAAGTAAAAATTATGTTAAAAAACCATTAAACTTTTTAAAACCTTTTCACAAACTTTTATTACCACTTTTTATAAAATTTGTTTTGTAATTTTTTTATAATTTACAACTTTTCCCCCCATTTTTTAGTATTTATTTATTTATTTTTATATATTTTTACAACTTTTAGTTGTTTTTTTTCCTACAAAAGAGTAATTCTCAAAAAGTTGTAAAAAATATATGAAAACATCAAAATAACTTATAAAAAATGTAAAACAAGTCTTAGAAAAAATTTGAAAAGAAGTTTTAAAAAGGTTTAGAAAAAGTTGGAAAACAAGTTTAATGGTGTATTTCCAACAAAAATATCAGTTGATAATTTATGTAATGACTATTTATGTATAATGATAATTTTTTTTATTATATATAAAAGTCATTAATTTACGGAAAGAATCATCAAAAAATAACTATATCGGTATGTCTACCAAATAATAAATTTTGAACACGTTAAGTATAAATCCATATTTGTCTACAATTAACATTTTAATGCACATTTGCCTCCTAATAACCTTTTTGACTTTAGGATCATAGGCCAAGACTTAGGATCATAAGCCAAGACTTAGGTGAATAAAAGATAAAATATTCATTTTAACATTGCAATTGCAATGTCCTAAACCATTAATCAATAAACATTTTAATGAATTAAGTTTTTCTATACAAAACAAGAATTAAGCATATTAATAAGTTCAAAATTTAATATGCTTGTATTTATAAGCAAAATTAGAAAATCTTAATAGCTTTTTATAAATATTTAACCGTTGGAAGTCGAGAGGGTTGGCTTCGTTTTCCCGCAATATATACGTTCTTTAGGTATCCACTCTCAACGGACCCAAAAAAACCCCGGAGACCCCTGACGATCTCTCTAACTCCTCTCCCCGGATACCAATACACCACCTTCCTTCGCCGGAGATCTAAGAAAACCCTTTGAATTCGAAAGGATTGGTTTGTGGTCGCGCGCTCTTCATTCATTCTGCTCTCAGCAAACCCTAACACCTCGATACCCATAGTGATCTAGGTAGCGCCACTGCCGGAGACCTAAACACCCCCAACCTTCTCAGGAAACTCTCATTCATCTCTCTAGTCCTAGAAATTATCAAGATCGTTGTAAGTTTCTCTAGGGTTGTTTTTTGTGATTAAGATGTTGTAATTTCCTTGTAAAAATTAAAATTGGTGTTTGAATAAGAAAGAATCAAAGGTTAATTGCTATTATCTTAATCTGTTTTTATTCCTTTTCTGCTCGTTCCGGTTTGCTAGTATTTCCCTGCCTTCTTCTTCATCTATTTTTTGGCGTTTTTTTTTTTTTTTTTTTTTTTTTTTTTTTTTTTTCTGTAAACTCTGATTTTGTCAGGTTAACTAACTGCTTTAGATGCATTACAACATAAAAAGGAAACTACGTTTTATTGTTCTTTTCGTTGGGATTCTTGGTGTTTATCTTCTTCTTTACCTTTCATTCTTATACTTTTTTTAATTGTTTATTATACTTTTTTATTCAGGGGCTTTTTGCTATTGAGATGTGCTTACTGTATGGACGTGAAATCTAATTCTATCAGATCACGATGTTTTAGTCAACAATCTTCCCTCGTATTTCAGTATTCACTGTTTTTGTTTCTGTTTCTATTTGGTTAAAAATATGCACAAACACCAGACATAGTGCATGTTTTGGTTACCTTTACAAAGGCAACTACATTCCATTATAAAAGTAGTGAACAATGTTGAAGAAGCCATAGAACATATACACATCAATGGAAGGTAATTTAGGTAAATATTTATCTTTGTTGGGGGTATTGTATTATTATTATTTTTTTCCTTCCAATTTCAGTTCCTACATTGAGTGCAATGTAACTTTCTTTTTCCATTTCTTTCTCTTTAACATGTAACTATGTTGCTATTTTGTGTAAAAAATAAAGTAACTTGCACATATTGGTAAAAAGAGTAAAGTATGTTACTCATCTAACAAATCCTCTTTTTGTGGCTTTTTGATAGAAGAATAACTTAACTGGAGCAACTGAGAGCACCTACAAATCTGGAAAAAAAGCTAAATGACTCACTATTATGTGTCTGGATGCCAAACTATTTGATAGAATAACCTCAACACATGTTGCATTCATTCAGCCTTCAATTCTTACATAACACTAAGTATGGATGTAAAAAATTCACTATGCATTTGAAAAGCTTAATTGTTTGATTGTAAAAATATGTTTTTAAACCCCCCTAGGGTTAAAAGCGGTTATATTTACCATTTAATTATGTCTTATGCAGGTGTTACATTATGTTATGAACCAAGACTGAATGGTTTGGTTAGCTTTTACTAAGGCAACTACATTCCATTTTGGAAGTAGTGTTCAATGTTGATGAGTATGTTGTTTTTCTTTCTTATTTTTTCAATAGCATGCTTATTAAAAAAATAAACTTCCGTGATCATAGTTTGATGCATAATTGTGTAGAGTATGACAATCAGATTTCTCAAGAAAGTTCTTGTCATTTATAGTGGAGATACTGAATCTTCCTTATGCTCCAAGTGGATTGAGAAAAAGCAAAATACTTTCAGTTCTTAATCCAGGTATGTTCTTTATACTAAACATCTGCTATTTATTTTGTTATGTCTTTTAAATTCTTGTTGTAGTTTACATTGATTAGCACATCAAACCAAAAACTTCAATAAGCAAATGGGCTAAATGCAATAAATAGCTCAATACTGCTATGACTAGCCAACCCTCCTAACAGAAATAAAACCAAAAATGCCAAAATTACCCTTCCATTACCAAAGATGCTCTTTTATTTGGTGAATTCTCCTTTTATCCTCCTTTAGAATGCTCGACTTTGTCCAGACATGGAATGCACTTTTCAGCTTTCTTTTGTATAAAACATCGTACAAAAATTTCCAATCAAACCATTTTACTTGAAAAAACCCACCAAATTTAGCATTGCGCTTTCAGTTTTCTTATTATATGCATCTTTCCCTTTGAAAAATAAACCCAACGATATCACTGCATTTTTCAGATTTTTTTGTTAAAAGATTGTAAATTTGTATTTTTCTTTTCATATCAAGGCATTTTACTTTGAAAAATCTACCAATTAAAGCATTGCACCTTGAATTTTCTTTTTAAAAGCATGTTTCTATTTGAAAATTCAACCCTTTTATAACATTGCAATTTTTAGTTTTACATTTTAACTTTCAAAAGTCTATACATTTTTTCTTTATCTAGGCATGTTAATTTGAAAAGTCCACTAATTTTAGCATTGTACTTTCATTAGTCTGTTACTTAATCAATTCATGTTGCTTTACACTTCGATATGTTTTAGGGCACAAATAGTTTATGTAACATTTCGTACAAGTCAATATGCCTTAAAGTTGATCAAACAAGGTTCTTCATTATTTGTTAATGTCCTATTTTTCTAAAGTACTATTTTAGTTTTTTGTAGTGTGATGATCTGCTTAATTTTAGGTCTTTACTTCTAAAGTGGAGGAGTCCAGGAGTTTCTTGCTGCAATTCAACATGTCCTCATTATCAGGTTTGTGGTTTAGGTCTAAAATGATACGACAGTTACTACTTCAGAAGACAATCATTCGGGCAGTGGGCAGCCAAACGATAGGCAGAGGCAAAAAACTCACAACCCTGCCCGAGATATTTCGGTCAAGTTTTAGAAAAATTCTTTCTTGTGACAAGGATGATTTCCGGGAAAACAACTTCCCAACTCTTCTGTGGCAGCCTTGTTGATTTTTATGTATGGTAAATTTCAGGAAATAGCAACATCATTGTTTTTTATCAATGTAGGCAATATACTTTACTTTTTACCCATAATAGCAACATACTTTTTACCTATAAAAACATCATACTTGCTTACAATTCCTTACTCATAATAACAACATACTTAAATCTCTTTACAAACAATAACAAAGTATATTGCTTTTATCAGTAAAGAAATGTAAGTAAGTTGCTATTAAGGATTATTAGTACATTGGTTCTATTGGTAAAGAAATCAGAAATGTAACTACATTACTGTTATTGGTAAAAAAAAATGATTATGTTGTTATGTAAAAAGTAATAATATACATTGCCAATATTGGTAAAAGGAGTCAAGTACATTGCTTTTCCATGCAAGTTGCTTTTTGTATACTCATATAAAAATTAATCAAGTAATGCTAATTGTGTTGTACACAGGTCAAAGAAGGTCCTCCCTCCATCTCAATGTATAACAAGGGTCTTTTGGTCATTTAGTTAAAAAGAAGAATGAAACTGAATTCCTTCCACCTGTCCCTATGAATGGTTGAAGTCCATCAAATATGAAATTTAATTTTGAAATAAACAACTAACTCTGCTGGATTCCATTTTTTTTTATTTTTTTGCTGTGGTTTCTTACATGTTTATTACCGTTTTGATATGGCAGCTGCTGGAACCACTCAACAACCCATTAGTTCAAACAAAACAACAGCTTGAATTACTTCTTCTGTTTCCGTTAGATTCCAATCCAATTCAAAAGGCAAGTAAATTTACTCTTCTACCCTCACAAACTACAATACTAGTTACAATTTATGACATGGTTTCAGTTAATTTGAATACAATAAAACAATAAGGTTATGGGAACACCATTTAAGTGAACACCTTTCATTTATACGGAGCCAATGTGGTTGACGAATCTCAACACAGACTGCAACCAACGAGAGAACTCGGACTTGTGTTGATGAGTCAACTCGGCCTTGCGTTGACAAGTTAACTCAGATTTAAGATGTTGGGTCAGCTTCAGCCACCAAAAGAGCCCAAGATGGCAATCATTCTAAAGTATGCTCTTGGTTCAAAAGGCATTCTTCATGTGAAAATATCCCAAGGGAAATAATCAAACAAAATGGAAGATTCCAGAAACATGGAGATGGTGGCTCTTTGTTTGATGAGAGACATCTTGGAAAAGAGAAGTATGTTCCAACACCCAAACTCAAATGTGAAGAAATGAGACACTTTGAAACCTTCAAATTTCATATTTAGTTGTTTCTATCTAACAGGCATGAAAACTTGTGTCTATGTGGTTATTATTCTGATCGTAAAAGATTTTTGGAAGACTTGGTGTGTGAAATTGTATCCGAAGATGTGTGTCAACTCTTTTGAATAGCAAGTCTATGCTAGAGTGATACAAAACATTTGCTCCAGGAGATTATAAGATTATAAGTACAACAATAATATTGTTGGAAAGAAATTGAAATATGATGCATGTGTAGTCTCCTTCAAAAAGTAGATTTGATTGTCAATTGAACGGTATTTAGGTCCAAATTGTTCAAAGAAAGAATTTATAGTCAAGAAAGAAAAATGATGCATGAAACAATGTTTATAGTTGTTCAATGTCTTGGAAAGATGCTTGCTACTATTATGTGACATGACATCTCCTTTGTTATGGAGTGTGTTCACATGATTCTTTATGAGTGTCAAATAGAGTGAAGACAACAACACAATCACATGTGGACCATGTCGATCTCTTATCATGAATTTCTCTTTATTTTTGATATATTTAAAAGTTTAATGAAACATGATATATCACGCGACAGAGAGAAAATCGAGTAACTTTTTTTTTTGGTTTAGTGGCTGCACTGTCACATGTATGCTATATTTGGTATTATGAACTATAGTTGTCATATCTATCAAAAGAAGGCATGTGTTGGTATGGTTTTTGTGCATAGTGAAGAAGTCTTTAACAAAGAAATTAATTTTGATATGAAGCATGTCATGAGGAATTGAGTCTCACGTTCCTAGTAATAAAGTTAAAGCCATTAAACGAATATTCAATGATGCTTGTGCCCAAAACTTCGGATGCTGAAAACCCTATCACGACAGGTGTTATTCTAAGCTAGTGGAGCCCACTTTTGACTCATTACGTCCAATTAATCCCACATTGGGCCTTTTCCTAAACACGAAACCCACCACCACTTTTCTTTCAATTCTTCCTAGGCCCAAAAAATTGAAATCCCATGTGGCACTAATTGGAGGTCCCAAACCTAAAAAGAGAAAGAGATGACGACAATGGGAATCGGACAATTTCATCACATTCCCTCACCTCATCCTCCTCCTTCTCCAATCTCCATCTCCTCCCCTGTGAAGCCACCGGCCGGAGACAAGTCGCACCCCACAGAAACACCGGCGAGCTTCAACCCCACAGCTAAGGTTCGTTTTTGTTCAAATTTTTCTGCCGTCGAGCCCTCTCTTGCTGTCGATTTTTTTCCTAGCCTTTCATTCTTTCTTCTTTTTCCTGGTTTCTTTTAGATTATTTTGTTGGTTCTATCAATTGATGCGTAACAAACTCATAAAAGAGCTGTAAAATATAAACATTTGCAATGAAAATAGCTTACATTTGAATGTGAAATTGGAATTGGTTTTGAATGAAATACCGAGGAGTTTGAAGGATCGTGTGAATTTGAAGGATTAGCCAAACACTTTTTAAAAACTCCAAACCGCTGTAAGTTAATAAACTATAAGTTAAGCTTAACCAAACACCCTCTATCTCTCACTCAAACAAGGTCAGTTTGTTTATGTTTATTGCTCTAGTAATGATCACTGATTAGGGCAAATTTTAAATCCACTGAATTAGGATTAGAGCTGGTAATCAAATATCCGCTAAAATCAATTGGAATTTTCTATTTGAATTAGGATTAGGGTAACTGTTTACTTTGTTTTCTATTTGAAATTCATGAGTACTTGAACATGATTGCAAGACTTCTTAGTTTTTTATTTGCTTATTTGTTCCAAGTTGTTCTCTATTCCAATCAAACTAAGTTATTAAAGAAAGCAATCAGTGTAAATAATTACTTGTTTCAACCTGTAACTTATTTAATCAAACCAGTTTATCAAAGAAACCAATCAAATTCAAATACTTATCATTTTGCATACGAATCATATAGTCCAAAACCAATAAGAGTCTAAACTTCTCTTTTCTTACATGATGCTGTGTTTCTATAGGCAATTAGGCACCCAATCCAAAGATGACAGATGGATTAGGTTTGGAATGCCAAGTTTGTGGCTTTGTGGGATTGGATGATGGCTCTGATGGTTTCTTTTACTGTCAAAGATGCGGTTCTCAAGCTGATGGAATCAGGGATACAGCTGTTGATGATGATGAGATGCTTTTAACAAAGGAAAATGTTGGTGGAATTGTGCAAAGACGTGTAGCTATGGTCAAACCTGAACCTCTCTCTCAATCTCAACCCCCTTCACAGTTTTGGGAAACTTTAAGGACCCAAGAGAATGATGATGATGATGATGATGGGGTGGGTCCCACTGAGCCTATTGATTTTGGGAGAGGGCCAAGAACATTGAGTTATGAAGATTACTATTCAGAAATTAGGATGAGGTATGTAATGGGAGTGCAGATCATGATCGAGTTGCAAGTTAAGGCTTTGGTTGAAAAATTCAACGTGTGTCCTATAATTGTTGATATGGTGGAGCCCATTTGGTTAAGATTTGTGGCATCAACTAAGCTTTTCAGTGATGATTGGGCTGATGAGGTTATTAATGAATCAGAATCTCAAGTACAAGGTATTCTTTTTATTGTTTTCTTTTGGTATTTTTATAAAGAGAAATACTGACATTTTCTTATTCTATTTCAGGGGAAACAGAAGCTGTTGCACCAAATGCTAAACACAAATCCGAACCCCATAACATACTCGGAAAACGATCCGTAATGATATGGTATAGATCCGTAAGCAAAACAATACCCTTACCATATTCTTTAGCCATTTCTTTTTTACTCTGCCACCTGGCACGAGAGCCAATTCTATCAACTGATATAGCAAAATGGACACTCGAAGGAAAACTTCCGTATTTCACAGCCTTTCTTGAAATAGAAAAACAAATCGGATCTCCAACTAACGCATGTCCATTAAGTTCAAGTCGTATGTTCAGACCATTACATTGTATTTCTATTCAGAAGCTGGAATCATTAGCTGCTTCAATTGCTCATTCCATTGGATTGGAATTACCTCCGGTCAACTTCTATGGAGTTGCTGCCTGGAATCATTAGCTGCTTCAATTGCTCATTCCATTGGGAAGTGGGAAAAGGGTTTGGTGAAGAGAAAAGACGGAAAGGAATCTAAGATTTTGGATAAAACAGCGGAATCGGAATCGGAATCGGAATCAGAATGCAAGATGTCGTCTCTTTCTAATAATCTTGTTTCCGAGAGTTATGATAAGCGACTACCGAAACAATCGAACTTGGATGCTACAGAGATTTTACTTTTGCTCGAGTCAAAATACAGTCAACTCATTGATAAAAGTGGTAAGCTTTTACAAATTTCAATTTTAGATTTTATACTTTAATCTGAAAATGGTATAAATCGTTGCAACCTTTGATTTTCATGAAGTTTACAATACGTCAAGTGGTTTCATATGTTTAGGTTAGTGATGGAATAAGGAAAGGAATGGAATTGTTCATTCCATTCCGCTCCTTTGTTATTCCATTCCATCCAACTACACCTACTCTTAGTATTTTTCCAACAGATTGTCCTATCTTTGTTTGGTAGTTGATGGTAGGGATCTTGAAACGTATCTTGAATATTGCAAGAATGTGGTGTTTGCTGGTGTGGAATTGTAATTTGAGGATCATGAAGAAGATCAGATAATAGAAGATCTTTGGAATTATTATCATAAAGAAGAGGTATGTATGTATGACATGATATAAGTGAGAAGAGATTTACAATTTTACATATGGAATTCATGATAAGTTTGTTTTTATTTTATTTTATTTTATTTTGGTAGGAGGATCACAAGCCATCATCTCCAAGCTCTAATTGTGGTTCCCACAAGAGACCTTTTGATTTTACCGAAACCAACATGAAGAAGCTCAAGAAATCTAAAGATGAAAATGATGACAAAATTAGCAATGAGACCCAAAAAGAAAAGGCAATAAGACGAATGATATCAAATATGGAAGAAAAAAGATTTTGTTATATTCCTCCAAGGACTAAAATTAAAAGACCCGATGATTATTTACATTATACAAGGAAAAAAGATGATGGAAACTATACTTATGCTTCACATGTGGATTATTATATTTTATTAAGATCATGTGCAAGAGTGGGTCGACTCGATGTTAGGGTTATGCATGGTGCAGTGTTGAGTTTTGAGAGGCGACTGGCGTGGCTTGAAAAGAATATTGATCAATGCGTGAAAGAAATGCCTAGTTTTCAAGTGTCTTGTGAGCTTTGTCCACAAGATGATATGAATGGTGATGAATCAATGGATTTTTCTAAGTTAAACTTGTAACATTTCTTCATATTTATTGCATAACCAAAATATAAATTATCCCAAAGGTGAGAGGTTATATGATCTATGACGTGAAACATATATTGATTAACATGCTATTGACTCTAAATCATGGTTATTGTATATACATGTTTTGGTTTGGTGAAATCGGTTCTAGGACCATTTGGAACACAAAAATAGCCTGAAATCTTATGCCTTTCTAAATCAGCTCATAAAACTGATTTTTGAGGTTATTTTAGGCTCCTTAAATCATAGCCCATAAAGCTGATTTTTGTCCAATAAAATGACATACATCTCTATTGATATAACAAACCTAACTTCCTTAAATTACAAAGAACTAATTTAAACCGATTGAAACCAAAGTACCAAAGATGTATCATCACTCAAAAACATTTAAAAACAAATGTAAGCAAGTAACAAAGTATTAAATACAACAAAATATGGTATGTTTACATATTTGGTCATTGTACTTTAATTTTACATGATTTACCATGAACTCACATGTGATGTTTGAAATCTACCATTTTGATCAATAATAAACGACCTAGTCGGTTTTCGGTGACCCTTTAGATAGGTTACTGAACTTTAAGTATTAAATGTAACAAACTATAGCCCGTGTATATATTTGGTCATTTTACTTTATTTGTACAAGATTTACCATTAACTCACATGTAGTGTTTGCAATCTAACATTTTTATTTGTAATAGACGATCTAGCTGGTTTTTGACAACCTTCCAATTGGTTAACAACTTTATAGGGTATCAGACTATGTCTTTGTTTACATTTAGTCTGTTACCCCATTTTCTTTAAGCAAATTATCATTAAAGTAAAAATTATGTTAAAAACCATTAAACTTTTTAAAACCTTTTTACAAACTTTTATTACCACTTTTTATAAAACTTGTTTTGTAATTTTTTTTATAATTTACAGCTTTTCCCCCCATTTTTTAGTATTTATTTATTTATTTTTATATATTTTTACAACTTTTAGTTGTTTTTTTCCTACAAAAGAGTAATTCTCAAAAAGTTGTAAAAAATATATGAAAACATCAAAATAACTTATAAAAAAATGTAAAACAAGTCATAGAAAAATTTGAAAAGAAGTATTAAAAAGGTTTAGAAAAAGTTGGAAAACAAGTTTAATGGTATATTTCCAACAAAAATGTCAGTTGATAATTTATGTAATGACTATTTATGTATAATGATAATTTTTTTTTATTATATATAAAAATCATTAATTTACGGAAAAAATCATCAAAAAATAGCTATATCGGTATGTCTACCAAATAATAAATTTTGAACACGTTAAGTATAAATCCATATTTGTCTACAGTTAACATTTTAATGCACATTTGACTCCTAATAACCTTTTTGATTTTAGGATCATAGGCTAAGACTTAGGTGAATAAAAGATAAAATATTCATTTTAACATTGCAATTGCAATGTTCTAAACCATTAATCAATAAACATTTTAATGAATTCAGTTTTTCTATACAAAACAAGAATTAAGTATATTAATAAGTTCAAAATTTAATATGCTTGTTTTTATAAGCAAAATTAGAAAATCTTAATTTTGGAAAGCTTTTTATAAATATTTAACCGTTGGAAGTCGAGAGGGTTGGTTTCGTTTTCCCGCAATATATACGTTCTTCAGGTATCCGCTCTCAACGGACCCAAAAAAATCCCGGAGACCCCTGACGATCTCTCTAACTCCTCTCCCCGGATACCAATACACCACCTTCCTTCGCCGGAGATCTAAGAAAACCCTTTGAATTCGAAAGGATTGGTTTGTGGTCGCGCGCTCTTCATTCATTCCGCTCTCAGCAAACCCTAACACCTCGACACCCATAGTGATCTAGGTAGCGCCACTGCCGGAGACCTAAACACCCCCAACCTTCTCAGGAAACTCTCATTCATCTCTCTAGTCCAAGAACTTATCAAGATCGTTGTAAGTTTCTCTAGGGTTGTTTTTTGTGATTAAGATGTTGTAATTTCCTTGTAAAAATTAAAATTGGTGTTTGAATAAGAAAGAATCAAAGGTTAATTGCTATTATCTTAATCTGTTTTTATTCCTTTTCTGCTCGTTCCGGTTTGCTAGTATTTCCCTGCCTTCTTCTTCATCTATTTTGTTGGCGGGTTTTTTTTTTTTTTTTTTTTTTTTCTGTAAACTCTAATTTTGTCAGGTTAACTAACTGCTTTAGATGCATTACAACATAAAAAGGAAACCGCGTTTTATTGTTCTTTTCGTTGGGATTCTTGGTGTTCATCTTCTTCTTCACCTTTCATTCTTATACTTTTTTTAATTGTTTATTATACTTTATTTATTCAGGGATTTTCTGTTATTGAGATGTGATTACTGTATGGACGTGAAATCTAATTCTATCCGATCACGATGTTTTAGTCAACAATCTTCCCTCGTATTTCAGTATTCACTGTTTTTGTTTCTGTTTCTATTTGGTTAAAAATATGCACAAACACCAGACAGAGTGCATGTTTTGGTTACCTTTACAAAGGCAACTACATTCCATTATAAAAGTAGTGAACAATGTTGAAGAAGCCATAGAACATATACACATCAGTGGAAGGTAATTTAGGTAAATATTTATCTTTGTTGGGGGTATTGTATTATTTTTTTTTCCTTCCAATTTCAGTTCCTACATTGAGTGCAATGTAACTTTCTTTTTCCATTTCTTTCTTTTTAACATGTAACTATGTTGCTATTTTGTGTAAAAAATAAAGTAACTTGCACATATTGGTAAAAAGAGTAAAGTATGTTACTCATCTAACAAATCCTCTTTTTGTGGCTTTTTGATAGAAGAATAACTTAACTGGAGCAACTGAGAGCACCTACAAATCTGGAAAAAAAAGCTAAACGACTCACTATTATGTGTCTGGATGCCAAACTATTTGATAGAATAACCTCAACACATGTTGCATTCATTCAGCCTTTAATCCCCATTATCAGGTTTGTGGTTTAGGTCTAAAATGATACGGTAGTTACTACTTCAGAAGACAATCATTCGGGCAGTGGGCAGCCAAATGATAGGCAGAGGCAAAAAGCTCACAACCCTGCCCGAGATATTTCGGTCAAGTTTTAGAAAAATTCTTTCTTGTGACAAGGATGATTGCTTGGAAAACAACTTCCCAACTCTTCTGTGACAGCCTTGTTGATTTTTATGTATGGTAAATTTCAGGAAATAGCAACATCATTTTTTTTTATCAATGTTGGCGATATACTTTACTTTTTACCCATAATACCAACATACTTTTTACATATAAAAACATCATACTTGCTTACAATTCCTTACTCATAATAACAACATACTTAAATCTCTTTACAAGCAATAGCAAAGTATATTGCTTTTATCAGTAAAGAAATTTAAGTATGTTGCTATTAAGGATTATTAGTACATTGGTTCTATTGGTAAAGAAATGTAACTACATTGCTGTTATTGGTAAAAAAAATGATTATGTTGTTATGTAAAAAGTAATAATATACATTGCCAATATTGGTAAAAGGAGTCAAGTACATTGCTTTTCCATGCAAGTTGCTTTTTGTATACTCATATAAAAATTAATCAAGTAATGCTAACTGTGTTGTACACAGGTCAACGAAGGTCCTCCCTCCATCTCAATGTATAACAAGGGTCTTTTGGTCATTTAGTTAAAAAGAAGAATGAAACTGAATTCCTTCCACTTGTCCCTATGAACGGTTGAAGTCCATCAAATATGAAATTTGATTTTGAAATAAACAACCAACTCTGCTGGAATCCATGATTCCATTTTTTTTTATTTTTTTTGCTGTGGTTTCTAACATGTTTATTACTGTTTTGATATGGCAGCTGCAAAAACACCGGACATAGTGCATGTTTTGGTTACCTTTACAAAGGCAACTACATTCCATTATAAAAGTAGTGAACAATGTTGAAGAAGCCATAGAACATATACACATCAATGGAAGGTAATTTAGGTAAATATTTATCTTTGTTGGGGGTATTGTATTATTATTATTATTTTCCTTCCAATTTCAGTTCCTACATTGAGTGCAATGTAACTTTCTTTTTCCATTTCTTTCTTTTTAACATGTAACTATGTTGCTATTTTGTGTAAAAAATAAAGTAACTTGCACATATTGGTAAATAGAGTAAAGTATGTTACTCATCTAACAAATCCTCTTTTTGTGGCTTTTTGATAGAAGAATAGCTTAACTGGAGCAACTGAGAGCACCTACAAATCTGGAAAAAAAGCTAAATGACTCACTATTATGTGTTTGGATGCCAAACTATTTGATAGAATAACCTCAACACATGTTGCATTCATTCAGCCTTCAGTTCTTACATAACACTAAGTATGGATGTAAAAAATTCACTATGCATTTGAAAAGCTTAATTGTTTGATTGTAAAAATATGTTTTTAAACCCCCCTAGGGTTAAAAGCGGTTATATTTACCATTTAATTATGTCTTATGCAGGTGTTACATTATGTTATGAACCAAGACTGAATGGTTTGGTTAGCTTTTACTAAGGCAACTACATTCCATTTTGGAAGTAGTGAACAATGTTGATGAGTATGTTGTTTTTCTTTCTTATTTTTTCAATAGCATGCTTATTAAAAAAATAAAATTTCGTGATCATAGTTTGATGCATAATTGTGTAGAGTATGACAATCAGATTTCTCAAGAAAGTTCTTGTCACTTATAGTGGAGATACTGAATCTTCCTTATGCTCCAAGTGGACTGAGAAATAGCAAAATACTTTCAGTTCTTAATCCAGGTATGTTCTTTCTACTAAACATCTGCTATTTATTTTATTATGTCTTTTAAATTCTTGTTGTAGTTTACATTGATTAGCACTTCAAACCAAAAACTTCAATAAGCAAATGGGCTAAATTCAATAAATGGCTGAATACTGCTATGACTAGCCAACCCTCCTAACAGAAATAAAACCAAAAATGCCAAAATTACCCTTCCATTACCAAAGATGCTCTTTTATTTGGTGAATTCTCCTTTTATCCTCCTTTAGAATGCTCGACTTTGTCCAGGCATGGAATGCACTTTTCAGCTTTCTTTTGTATAAAACATCGTACAAAAATTTCCAATCAAACCATTTTACTTGAAAAAATCCACCAAATTTAGCATTGCACTTTCAGTTTTCTTATTATATGCATCTTTCCCTTTGAAAAATAAACCCAACGATATCACTGCATTTTTCAGATTTTTTTGTTAAAAGATTGTAAATTTGTATTTTTCTTTTCATATCAAGGCATTTTACGTTGAAAAATCTATCAATTAAAGCATTGCACCTTGAATTTTCTTTTTAAAAGCATGTTTCTATTTGAAAATTCAACCCTTTTATAACATTGCAATTTTTAGTTTTACATTTTAACTTTCAAAAGTCTATACATTTTTTCTTTATCTAGGCATGTTAATTTGAAAAGTCCACTAATTTTAGCATTGTACTTTCATTAGTCTGTTACTTAATCAATTCATGTTGCTTTAAACTTCGATATGTTTTAGGGCACAAATAGTTTATGTAACATTTCGTACAAGTCAATATGCCTTAAAGTTGATCAAACAAGGTTCTTCATTATTTGTTAATGTCCTATTTTTATAAAGTACTATTTTAGTTTTTTGTAGTGTGATGGTCTACTTAATTTTAGGTCTTTACTTCAAAAGTGGAGTCCAGGAGTTTCTTGCTGCAATTCAACATGTCCTCATTATCAGGTTTGTGGTTTAGGTCTAAAATGATACGACAGTTACTACTTCAGAAGACAATCATTTGGGCAGTGGGCAGCCAAACAATAGGCAGAGGCAAAAAACTCCCAACCCTGCCCGAGATATTTCGGTCAAGTTTTAGAAAAATTCTTTCTTGTGACAAGGATGATTGCCTGGAAAACAACCTCCCAACTCTTCTGTGACAGCCTTGTTGATTTTTATGTATGGTAAATTTCAGGAAATAGCAACATAATATTTTTTATCAATGTAGGCAATATACTTTACTTTTTACCCATAATAGCAACATACTTATATATCTTTACATATAAAAACATCATACTTGCTTACAATTCCTTACTCATAATAACAACATACTTAAATCTCTTTACAAACAATAGCAAAGTATATTGCTTTTATCAATAAAGAAATGTAAGTAAGTTGCTATTAAGGATTATTAGTACATTGGTTCTATTGGTAAAGAAATCAGAAATGTAACTACATTGCTATTATTGGTAAAAAAATGATTATGTTGTTATGTAAAAAGTAATAATATACATTGCCAATATTGATAAAAGGAGTCAAGTACATTGCTTTTCCATGCAAGTTGCTTTTTGTATACTCATATAAAAATTAATCAAGTAATGCTAACTGTGTTGTACACAGGTCAAAGAATGTCCTCCCTCCATCTCAATGTATAACAAGGGTCTTTTGGTTATCTAGTTAAAAAGAAGAATGAAACTGAATTCCTTCCACCTGTCCATATGAATGGTTGAAGTCCATCGAATATGAAATTTAATTTTGAAATAAACAACCAACTCTGCCGGAATCCATGATTCCATTTTTTTTTTTGCTGTGGTTTCTTACATGTTTATTACTGTTTTGATATGGCAGCTGCTGGAACCACTCAACAACCCATTAGTTCAAACAAAACAACAGCTTGAATTACTTCTTCTGTTTCCATTAGATTCCAATCCAATTCAAAAGGCAAGTAAATTTACTCTTCTACCCTCACAAACTACAATACTAGTTACAATTTATGACATGGTTTCAGTTAATTTGAATACAATAAAACAATAAGGTTATGGGAACACTGTTTAAGTGAACACCTTTCATTTAGATGGAGCCAATGTGGTTGACGAATCTCAACACAGACTGCAACCAACGAGAGAACTCGGACTTGTGTTGATGAGTCAACTCGGCCTTGCATTGACGAGTTAACTCAGATTTAAGATGTTGGGTCAGCTTCAGCCACCAAAAGAGCCCAAGATGGTAATCATTCTAAAGTATGTTCTTGGTTCAAAAGGCCTTCTTCATGTGAAAATATCCCAAGGGAAATAATCAAACAAAGTTATATAAAATGGAAGATTCCAGAAACATGGAGATGGTGGCTCTTTGTTTGATGAGAGACATCTTGGAAAAGAGAAGTATGTTCCAACACCCAAACTCAAATGTGAAGAAATGAGAGACTTTGAAACCTTCAAATTTCATATTTAGTTGTTTCTATCTAACAGGCATGAAAACTTGTGTCTATGTGGTTATTATTCTGATCGTAAAAGATTTTTGGAAGACTTGGTGTGTGAAATTGTATCCGAAGATGTGTGTCAACTCTTTTGAATAGCAAGTCTATGCTAGAGTGATACAAAACATTTGCTCCAGGAGATTATAAGATTATAAGTACAACAATAATATTGTTGGAAAGAAATTGAAATATGATGCATGTGTAGTCTCCTTCAAAAAGTAGATTTGATTGTCAATTGAACGGTATTTAGGTCCAAATTGTTCAAAGAAAGAATTTATAGTCAAGAAAGAAAAATGATGCATGAAACAATGTTTATAGTTGTTCAATGTCTTGGAAAGATGCTTGCTACTATTATGTGGCATGACATATCCTTTGTTATGCAGTGTGTTCACATGATTCTTTATGAGTGTCAAGTGGAACATGTCGATCTCCTATCATGAATTTCTCTTTATTTTTGATATATTTAAAAGTTTAATGAAACATGATATATCATGCAACACAGAGAAAATGGAGTAACTTTTTTTTTTTTTTTTGGTTTAGTGGCTGCACTGTCACATGTATGCTATATTTGGTATTATGAACTATAGTTGTCATATCTATCAAAAGAAGGCATGTGTTGGTATGGTTTTTGTGCATAGTGAAGAAGTCTTTAACAAAGAAATTAATTTTGATATGAAGCATGTCATGAGGAATTGAGTCTCACGTTCCTAGTAATAAAGTTAAAGCCATTAAACGAATATTCAATGATGCTTGTGCCCAAAACTTCGGATGCTGAAAACCCTATCACGACAGGTGTTATTCTAAGCTAGTGGAGCCCACTTTTGACTCATTACGTCCAATTAATCCCACATTGGGCCTTTTCCTAAACACGAAACCCACCACCACTTTTCTTTCAATTCTTCCTAGGCCCAAAAAATTGAAATCCCATGTGGCACTAATTGGAGGTCCCAAACCTAAAAAGAGAAAGAGATGACGACAATGGGAATTGGACAATTTCATCACATTCCCTCACCTCATCCTCCTCCTTCTCCAATCTCCATCTCCTCCCCTGTGAAGCCACCGGCCGGAGACAAGTCGCACCCCACAGAAACACCGGCGAGCTTCAACCCCACAGCTAAGGTTCGTTTTTGTTCAAATTTTCCTGCCGTCGAGCCCTCTCTTGCAGTCGATTTTTTTCCTAGCCTTTCATTCTTTCTTCTTTTTCCTGGTTTCTTTTAGATTATTTTGTTGGTTCTATCAATTGATGCGTAACAAACTCATAAAAGAGTTGTAAAATATAAACATTTGCAATGAAAATAGCTTACATTTGAATGTGAAATTGGAATTGGTTTTGAATGAAATACCGAGGTGTTTGAAGGATCGTGTGAATTTGAAGGATTAGCCAAACACTTTTTAAAAACTCCAAACCGCTGTAAGTTAATAAACTATAAGTTAAATAATTAAAAGTATTTTTAATAAGCTTAACCAAACACCCTCTATCTTTCACTCAAACAAGGTCAGTTTGTTTATGTTTATTGCTCTAGTAATGATCACTGATTAGGGCAAAATTTAAATCCACTGAATTAGGATTAGAGCTGGTAATCAAATATCCGTTAAAATCAATTGGAATTTTCTATTTGAATTAGGATTAGGGTAACTGTTTACTTTGTTTTCTATTCGAAATTCATGAGTACTTAAACTTGATTGCAAGACTTCTTAGTTTTTTATTTGCTTATTTGTTCCAAGTTGTTCTCTATTCCAATCAAACTAAGTTACTAAAGAAAGCAATCAGTGTAAATAATTACTTGTTTCAACCTGTAACTTATTTAATCAAACCAGTTTATCAAAGAAACCAATCAAATTCAAATACTTATCATTTTGCATAAGAATCATATAGTCCAAAACCAATAAGAGTCTAAACTTCTCATTTCTTACATGATGCTGTTTTTTCTATAGGCAATTAGGCACCCAATCCAAAGATGACAGATGGATTAGGTTTGGAATGCCAAGTTTGTGGCTTTGTGGGATTGGATGATGGCTCTGATGGTTTCTTTTACTGTCAAAGATGCGGTTCTCAAGCTGATGGAATCAGGGATACAACTGTTGATGATGATGAGATGCTTTTAACAAAGGAAAATGTTGGTGGAATTGTGCAAAGACGTGTAGCTGTGGTCAAACCTGAACCTCTCTCTCAATCTCAACCCCCTTCACAGTTTTGGGAAACTTTAAGGACCCAAGAGAATGATGATGATGATGATGGGGTGGGTCCCACTGAGCCTATTGATTTTGGGAGAGGGACAAGAACATTGAGTTATGAAGATTATTATTCAGAAATTAGGATGAGGTATGTAATGGGAGTGCAGATCATGATAGAGTTGCAAGTTAAGGCTTTGGTTGAAAAATTCAACGTGTGTCCTATAATTGTTGATATGGTGGAGCCTATTTGGTTAAGATTTGTGGCATCCACTAAGCTTTTCAGTGATGATTGGGCTGATGAGGTTATTAATGAATCAGAATCTCAAGTACAAGGTATTCGTTTTATTGTTTTCTTTTGGGTATTTTTATAAAGAGAAATACTTACATTTACTTATTCTATTTCAGGTGAAACAGAAGCTGTTGCACCAAATGCCAAACACAAATCCGAACCCCATAACATACTCGGAAAACGATCCGTAATGATATGGTATAGATCCGTAAGCAAAACAATACCCTTACCATATTCTTTAGCCATTTCTTTTTTACTCTGCCACCTGGCACGAGAGCCAATTCTATCAACTGATATAGCAAAATGGACACTCGAAGGAAAACTTCCGTATTTCACAGCCTTTCTTGAAATAGAAAAACAAATCGGATCTCCAACTAACGCGTGTCCATTAAGTTCAAGTCGTATGTTCAGACCATTACATTGTATTTCTATTCAGAAGCTGGAATCATTAGCTGCTTCAATTGCTCATTCCATTAGATTGGAATTACCTCCGGTCAACTTCTATGGAATTGCTGCCCGGTATCTCGGGCAACTGTCTCTTCCAGTTGAGACCATTCTCCCTCATGCTTCCCGGATTTATGAGTGGTCAATGCCACCCGAGCTTTGGTTGTCTGGAAATGAATTCCGGCTTCCTACACGTGCTTGTGTGTTGTCTATTCTTATTTTTTCAATTAGGAGTCTTTATAAGATACATGGTTTTGGGAAGTGGGAAAAGGGTTTGGTGAAGAGAAAAGACGGAAAGGAATCTAAGATTTTGGATAAAACAGCGGAATCGGAATCGGAATCGGAATCGGAATCAGAATGCAAGATGTCGTCTCTTTCTAATAATCTTGTTTCCGAGAGTTATGATAAGCGACTACCGAAACAATCGAACTTGGATGATACAGAGATTTTACTTTTGCTCGAGTCAAAATACAGTCAACTCATTGATACAAGTGGTAAGCTTTTACAAATTTCAATTTTAGATTTTATACCGTAATCTGAAAATGGTATAAATCGTTGCAACCTTTGATTTTCATGAAGTTTACAATACGTCAAGTGGTTTCATATGTTTAGGTTAATGATGGAATAAGGAAAGGAATGGAATTGTTCATTCCATTCCGCTCCTTTGTTATTCCATTCCATCCAACTACACCTACTCTTAGTATTTTTCCAACAGATTGTCTTGTCTTTGTTTGGTAGTTGATGGTAGGGATCTTGAAACGTATCTTGAATATTGCAAGAATGTGGTGTTTGCTGGTGTGGAATTGTCATTTGAGGATCATGAAGAAGATCAGATAATAGAAGATCTTTGGAATTATTATCATAAAGAAGAGGTATGTATGTATGACATGATATAAGTGAGAAGAGATTTACAATTTTACATATGAAATTCATGATAAGTTTTTTTTTTTTTTTTTTTTTTTTTTTTTTGGGTAGGAGGATCACAAGCCATCATCTCCAAGCTCTAATTGTGGTTCCCACAAGAGACCTTTTGATTTTTCCGAAACCAACGTGAAGAAGCTCAAGAAATCTAAAGATGACAATGATGACAAAATTAGCAATGAGACCCAAAAAGAAAAGGCAATAAGACGAATGATATCAAATATGGAAGAAAAAAGATTTTGTTATATTCCTCCAAGGACTAAAATTAAAAGACCCGATGATTATTTACATTATACAAGGAAAAACGATGATGGAAACTATACTTATGCTTCACATGCGGATTATTATATTTTATTAAGATCATGTGCAAGAGTGGGTCGACTCGATGTTAGGGTTATGCATGGTGCAGTGTTGAGTTTTGAGAGGCGATTGGCATGGCTTGAGAAAAATATTGATCAATGCGTGAAAGAAATGCCTAGTTTTCAAATGTCTTGTGAGCTTTGTCCACAAGATGATATGAATGGTGATGAATCCATGGATTTTTCTAAGTTAAACTTGTAACATTTTTATGTATATAATGAGAAAGTTGAGACTTGAAACGTTTGGCTACAATTTAAGCCCTTCATGGTCTAAAATCTTTTAGGACCATTTTGGATTGAATTTGGAACACAAAAATAGTCTAAAATCTTTGGTATTTTGGTTTCAAATGGTTTACATCTTTGTTTTTAAACGCTTTATCTTTATGAATGGTTTAAATTAGATGGTGATTCAAAAGCATTTAAAAACAAATGTAAGAAAGTAAGAAAGTATCAAATGTAACACACTATGGTCCGTTTACATATTTGGTCATTGTATTTCGTTGGTTACATGATTTACCATTAACTCACATATAGTGTTTGAAATCTATAATTTTGATCGATAATAGATAGTCTACTTGGGGTATGTTTGAGTTAGCTTTTTATGTCAAAAGTGATTTTTAAGAAAAGTGCTTATTAGCTTATAGCTTTTAGAAAAAGCTGGTTTTAAAAAGTGTTTGGATGCGAAAAGCTGCTTTTTCATGAGTAAAATGGTTAAAAAACTAAAAAGCTAGGATTTTATAGTTTATTGAAAGCTTTACTTTTTTCCATCCAAAAATCTGTTTTAAAAAACGCTTTTTAAATAGACAAACATTTTTTTTTCGTTTATTAGTTTTTTAAAAAGCTAAAAAGCTAATAAGTTTTTTTTTTAAACTATCCTAAACACCCACTTGGTTTCTAAAGTACTATTTTAGTTTTAATTGTAAAAATATGTTTTTAAACCCCCCTAGGGTTAAAAGCGGTTATATTTACCATTTAATTATGTCTTATGCAGGTGTTACATTATGTTATGAACCGAGAGTGAATGGTTTGGATAACTTTACTAAGGCAACTACATTCCATTTTGGAAGTAGTGAACAATGTTGATGAGTATGTTGTTGTTCTTTCTTATTTTTTCAATAGCATGCTTATTAAGAAAATAAGCTTTCGTGATCATAATTTGATGCATAGTTGTGTAGAGTATGACAATCAGATTTCTCAAGAAAGTTGATTGTGGCAAATTGCCAAGATACTGAGAAATAGCAAAACACTTCCAGTTCTTAATCCAGGTATGTTATTTCTACTAAACATCTGCTATTTATTTTGTTGTGTCTTCTAAATTCTTGTTGTAGTTTACATTGATTAGCACTTCAAACCAAAAACTTTAATAAGCAAATGGGCTAAATGCAATAAATATCTAAATACTGCTATGAACTTGACTACAAATTGATTTATAAAACAAAAACATCTGATTAAGTCGGAATCACTCAAAAGATTACAAGAAAATGACAATGTGCTCTCCTTCCATTCACGTAACAACCAAGGGACAAAAATGACTAGCCAACCCTCCTAACATAAATAAAACCAAAAATGCCTAAATTACCCTTCCATTACCAAAGATGCTTTTTTATTTGGTGAATTCCCCTTTTTGTCCTCCTTTAGAATGCTCGACTTTGTTGAGGCATGGAATGCACTTTTCAGGTTTCTTTTGTATAAAACATCGTACAAAAAATTTCCATTCAAACCATTTTACTTTAAAAAATCCACCAAATTTAGCATTGCACTTTCAGTTTTATTATTATATGCATATTTCCCTTTGAAAAATAAACCCAAGGATAGCATTGCATTTTTCAGACTTTTTCTTAAAAGATTGTGTGTGTGTGTGTGTATATATATATATATATATATATATATATATATATTTCATATCAACACATTTTACTTTGAAAAATCTACCAGTTAAAGCATTGCAATTTGAATTTTCTTTTAAAAGCATGTTTCTATTTGAAAGTTCAACTATTTTATAACATTGCAATTTTTAGTTTTCATTTGGGACAACATTTTAACTTTCAAAAGTCTATACATTTTTTCTTTATCTAGTCCTTTTAATTTGAAAAGTCCACTAATTTTAGCTTTGTACTTAATCAATTCATGTTGCTTTACACCACATCTTGTATCTTTAGGTTCTACCTATTTTCGATATGTTTTAGGGCACAAATAGTTTAATGTCAAGGAAAATGTAACATTTCATACAACTCAATATGCCTTAAAGTTGATCAAACAAGGTTCTTCACTATTTGTTGTAATGTCCTATTTTTCTAAACTACTATTTTAGTTTTTTGTAATGTGATGATCTACTTAATTTTAGGTCTAGCATCCTCGGAGTTTCTTGCTGCAATTTAACATGTCCTCATTATCAGGTTTGTGGTTTAGGTCTAAAATGATACAGTAGTTACTACTTTAGAAGACAATCATTCGGGCAGTGGGCAGAGGCAAAAAACTCACAACCCTGCTCGAGATTTTTCGGTCAAGTTTTAGAAAAATTCTCTCTTGTGACAAGGTTTGCCTGGAAAACAACTGTGACAGCCTTGTTGATGGTCATGGTCAAAGTCAAAGCCATGGTCAACTCTGGGTACCCAAGAGTGAATCCTCTCAACCTAAAACAAAGTCATGTAAACTGGGTGCTCCTATTAACACGAATTTATTCGTGTATACGCAATCATTAGAGAATCAATCCCATCATCATATTTGTTGATTTCATATTTTTAATTGTTTTTATATTTTTCATTTTCTTCCCTTTCAATTAGATGTAAGTTACAAAACAAACCTTCCTACTTTTTATTCTTTTTAATTTCAACAATTTTATATGAAACACATATAAAATAAATGCTAAAAAATCTTAAATATATATACTCAAAATAATATCAATTAAAATGTTAAGGTATGTATTATAATCATTTTCAATAAATATATTTTTCATCAAAACGTTAATAATATATTTTATTATTTTTAAAATTCATATTATTAACGATAAACCAATTTATAACTTTTCTAACCCATTGCTAAAAACCTTATTTAAGTAAAATTAAGTAAATTAATCATCTTTTCAATTTAATATATTAAAATGACAACTGACATATATCATTTCAATTATGGTTTTAAAATGCGTGTCAATCAGTGCCAATCAGTTCTATTGATAAGTAATATTACAATTATATACATCTAGTTTACATTTTAGTTTTAAAACAGACCTTAGATTTTTTTTTCATTTATATCTTAAACCTTTGAAACTTTATTAATTTTGAAAACTAACAAATAGAAACATATTATTTAATTATAAAAGTTGTATAATAAAATGATCTCATGAATACATTTACAAAAAGAGTAATAATGAATATTGATAAATATTTTTAAATATTAATAAAAAAAGTTAATTTGTTAAATAAGAAATATAAATATTAAACATTAACAAAAATAGAAGGGATAAAAATGAAAATTTGGTTTCAGATTCTTACGATTGATATTTCTTATTTGTTAATTTGAAAGCGACTTGCAATGTCAAGTAACTATCGTTAAAACCAAACATATGATATTTGTTATAAATGTAGATTTTATTAAATGACAAGTTTAGAAGAATGGATGGGTGACACATATTATGAGGTATTTGTACTTAACATTTCTTATTTTTTATAGTTATTTTTTTTTGTTAAATGTATGTTTTTCGCTTAGTTATGTTTGTGTTATGTTCAGAGAGATGATATTCATCCAATGGAGACAAATGAAGTAGATGAAAATAATAGCTTGAATGAAAGTAATTATTTTTTCGACGACACATCACCATTCGAAACGAATATCCATCCAATGGACACAAATAAAACAGATGAAAATAAAAGCTTGAATGAAAGCAGAAGAACTGATTTATGAACTATTATTATCGGCAAATGTTGATAAGGGTTGTATTATAATGTATTAGTAACTTGTCAATTATTTTTAAGCCATACAACTGTTATACCTCCGGCCGAGGCGGCGGAATATAAGGTTTGATTTGAAAATCAAATATAAATGTAAGGATATTTAATAAAAATAATATATTTTATTATTTTTAAAATTCATATTGACCGACCAATTTATAACTTTATTAAAATAATATGTGTGCCGATATAATGTATTAATATGTGTGCCAATAAAATGTATTAATATGTGTGCCGATAAATAATCATTTTATCGATAAAATATAATATTACAATTTTATACCTGTAGTTTTAGAAAAGACCCTAGATTTTATCAATTTAAATCTTAAACCCTTAAAACTTTATTAATTTTGAAAACTAACAAATAGTAACATATTATTTATTCATAAAAGTTGTTTAATTAAAATGATCTCATGAATATATTTACAAGAAAAGTAATAATGAATATTATTAAATATTAATAGAAAAAAATTAATTTGTTAAATAAGAAATATAAACTATGAAACATTAACAAAAATAGAAGGGATAAAAATGAAAATTTGGTTACAATTTCTTTCTATATATAGAGGATTGGTATTTCTTATATGGTAAACTGAAAGCGACTTGCTGAAAGTAACTTTCCTTAAAAGCAAACATATGATATTTGTTATAAATATAGATTTTATTAAATGACAAGTTGGGAAGAATGGATGAGTGATACATATTATGAGGTATTTGTACTTAACCTTTCTTATTATTATTATTATTATTATTATTATTATTATTATTATTATTATTATTATTATTATTATTATATATGTTTTTCTCTTTGTTATGTTTAGAGAGATGATATTCATCCAATGGAGACAAATGAAGTAGATGAAAATAATAGCTTCAATGAAAGTAACTATTTTTTCGACGACATATCACCATTCGAAATGGATATTCATCCAATGGACACAAATGAAGTAGATGAAAATGAAAGTTTGAACGAAAGTCGTTATTTCTTCGATGACACATCACCCTTCAAAACAAATAAGGTATAAATTCATTAGTATGTTGTTACTGTAATGTAAGCATCAAGTGGATTTGTCTGCTACTAATAATAATATAATTGTCAGGTGTTCAATTCTCGTCAAAAATTAAACGTAACTTTAATGTTGTATTTCAATGTGATCGTGGATGTACATACAAAAGTACACAAATCTCCAAAAAAAACAAACAACAGGGACAAAAAAAATTAATTGTCCATTTAGCCTACAGGGTAAATATTTGTCAGTAGATAATTCTTGGAAGATAAAAATGATATGTGAATTTCATAACCATGAGCCGTCATGATATTTACAAGGTTATCCTTATCTACGACGGCTAACTGAATATGAATGTCGAATAGTTGAAGATTTGTTGAAAAAAAATATCAAACCAAAAGATATATTATCTGCACTAAAAAACCTAAATCCGAAA